CAAGGTGGAAACTGGCAGCACACCCCGTTTGTGGGCTCGCCCATCTTTGCCGATCTGGATAACAACGGCTCCGACGAACTGATCACGGCCGCATCCGGTGGCCGGCTCGTGGCCTATAAGATGGACGGCATCACTCCGACCGTCTTCCAGACTTACGACACACTGTCGCAAGCCAACTTCCGCTCGACCCCTGCGGTGGTGCAATTACCCAATGGTCGGCAAGCAATCTTTGCCGCGTTAGGACGAGATGAATCCAACCCGGGCACGGTGGAAAGTGATCAGTTCTTTGGTTGGGACGCCATCACCGGGCAGCTGCTACCTAACTGGCCCGTCACGCTTCAGCGTAATGTAGCCGGGCAAGGTGGAGCCACGGGGGCCATCACCACCGGCGATGTGACTGGCGACGGACAAAAAGAAGTCATCGTCACTTCGTTCAGTCACTTCGTCGAAGTCTACCGTCTCGATGGTTCTTTGGTGTGGCGCTACAACGCCGACGACACCATTGTCTCGGGTGCCGTGGTTGGCGATATCGACCGAGATGGGCGGAATGAAGTCGTGTTCGGAAGCGATGCGAGCCAAAGCCAGTTCTTCGATGCTGGTGGATTCATCAACATTCTCGATAACCAAGGTTCGGCCAAGTTCCGTTATCACATCGACGAGGTGGTTTGGTCCTCGCCGGTGTTGGCCGACATCACCAACGACGGTTATCTCGAAGTCATTGTCGGTACGGGATTGAACTTCGACGACTTCGATCCCAAGCCGGGGGCACGAGCCGCGGGCAATCGTCTTTATGCGATCGACTACAAGGGCGATGTCGTTCCCGGCTGGCCGTATCACACCACCACAAACGATGCCCTGAAACGGCAAGTGCTCGGCTCGCCAGCGGTGGCCGATATCGATCAGGATGGCGACTTGGAAGTGATCGCCGCCGATCGGGGTGGCTTCTTGCATGTGGTGCAAGGCAACGGGCAGGCCCTCTCGGGTTGGGCCGGCGGAAAACAAATCGCCACACAATCGGCCCCACAGGATGGCTATGCTTCGCCGATCGTGGCCGACATCAACGGCGACGGGAACCCGGACATCGTCGCTTCGAATGGCCCGAACCTGACCGGGTTCGACCATAACGGCAACGTGATCTTCCAGTACCTCACCCCCACGAATCCACCGGAAGGGCGCTACAACGCCGCCGCGGTTGGGCAATGGAACGGAAGCGGCGGATTGGAATTGGCCGCGGTCTCCAATGTTTCGGCGGTACCCAACCGTCCGAGTATCGTGAGTGTCTTCCATCTCGACACCAGCACGCTCGATGCTCCCTGGGCGATGCTTCGTCGTTCGTCCGATGGCATGGCCGTTGCACAGTCGCCCAACTTTGTGAATCAGTTTGTCGCCGCAGCGTACGAAGGACTGTTGCAGCGTAGTGCGACTTCTCCCGAGATCGCCTACTTCGCTGAGCCGATCCTGAAAAATGAGATGACCCTGCTGGGACTCTCTCGCATGATGTCGTCGAGCGTCGAAGCTCGGGACCGTGTGATCGATGCACTCTATACCCAACTGTTGAATCGGTCGCCTGAGAGTGCGGGCCGAGCTTACTGGCAAGGCTACTTGGCTACGAACACCGTCAAGTCGATGGCGATTCAGTTCGCCAGCTCCGACGAGTTCAACTCGCTGGGTGGTGGGACCACCGAAGGTATCATTAATCGCCTGTATCAAACGATTCTCAACCGTACGCCTGCGTCTGATGAAGTTCAGTACTGGGTGAATTACGTGAACACTTATGGGTTGGCTCCTGTCGCCCGACTGTTCTGGACTTCGACCGAGAACCTGACCAATCGGTTAGAAACGGCCTACAAGGCGGCATTCGGTTCCGGGGCCGTGATTGCAGAAGATACTCTGGCGTCGTTCCTGTTCGATAACAGGCACGATCGGCGACGTGAGGAAGAGATCTTTGCTCAGGTCATTTCCTCTGGCGGAAACTATGCCGCCACCGACAATGTCTCAGCCTGGGTACGAACGCTCTATCGCGATGTGCTCAATCGAGAAGCGGCCCCCGTTGAAGTTGCCCTGTGGTTGTCGGCCGTCGATCGTGGTGAGGTGGTGTTGGAGCAAATCGCCAACGTGATGATGAACGCCCCTGAGTCGCGGGCGAACGTTATCAATAGTGTTTTCCAAGCTATCCTTCGCCGCGATGCCGATTCTGGAGCACTGTCGGCTTTTGCGAACTACACGAGCCGCGAAGAGATCATCATGGCGTTGATCACTTCGAGTGAGTACGTCAATCTCAACGGTGGCACACTGGAAGGTTACATCCGTGGATGCTACCGCGATTTGGCCGGCATCGACCCGGCCCCCGCGTCTGCTGTGAATCAGTGGACCAACTTGATCAATTCGGGCACTCCTTCATCGGAGCTGCCCCGGTTGCTGATGCAAAGCACCGAGTTCTACAACAAGCAGGTTGTGGAACTGCTGTTCCGATACCTACCCAACGAGGCCATGGGTGTGCTGCGGTCGGGTAATCTGCCTCCGGGTGCTGCTGGCCAACCGGTGAACCCCAACCCGGCCTTGGTATCCTACTTCACGGGCTTGCGGCAGAACGGCGTTTCAAGCCGCGATGTGACGGTGATCCTGCTCTCTTCGCCCGAGTACGTGGCAAAGAGTTCGTACTATCGCGGCCTATATGAGAGCACGGGGGTCCGCGTCTAGTCGTTGTCTTTGCTGTTGAAGACGGTGTGATGATCGACGTTGGATCGAAGTGGGGCGTTTGCTACACTCCGCGACCGCCGCAGGCGAGCTGTGCTAGCTCGATGTCGTTGCGGCACTTTGGTCATTCGAAGGAACGGATGATGCAGAAGACCGATCTGGCCCAAATGAATCGTATCAAGTGGTTCCATCGCATCCCCTTGTGCGATGACATCACCACCCCGGGCCGCGACGCTTCGGCCGAGAAGCTAGCCACCATTGGCATGCCTGAGGCCCTCAACGGACAAAGCGTGCTGGACATTGGTGCCTGGGATGGGTTCTTTTCCTTCGAAGCAGAACGCCGGGGCGCCGAACGTGTGCTAGCGGTCGACTCGGCGGTGTGGACCGAGCCCTCGATTGGGAAGGCCGGATTCGACTTTGCCCATCGCGTGCTGAACTCTCGCGTCGAGTCGTTGAACCTCGACGTGATGTACCTCTCACCAGCGATTGTGGGCACCTTCGACCTGGTGATGTTCTTAGGTGTGCTCTATCACATGCCCGATCCGATGTCGGCCCTACATCAGGTGGCCTCGGTTACCAGCGGAAGGCTCATCCTCGAGACGCATGTGGATCTGATGGACAACCCCCGCCCTGCGATTGCGTATTACCCAGGGGCGGAGTTGAACCACGACAAGACGAACTGGTGTGGGCCCAATCAAGCGGCGCTCGAGGGGATGCTGCGGGTTGCCGGTTTCTCGCACACCCAAGTGGTGTATGAATCGCGAGAGAACTATCCCCTGGCGGGGGCCAAGCCCGGCACCTATGGCCGGATGGTAATGCACGCCTGGAAGTAACGGGCGAGTGTGGTGGTCGTGCTGACTAGGCACGTACGCAGATGCCAGCCGCTCCAGGTTTCGCTCAGGCTGCCAGCTTTTGGGGCTTTGCAACGAAGCGTTGATACTCGTCGAGCATGCGGTGAGCGACATCGTCCCAGTTGTACAGCCGGTCGAGCTTCTTCTGGTCGATGGCGACTTCGCCTCCGGCCGCATTCATCTGCAACCAGGCCTCATCGAAGGTCGAGATGTCGCAAGGGTCGAAGAAGTAGAGACCATTGCTATCAAACTCGCGGATCGAGCTGTGATAGCTGGTCATCACCGGCGTCCCGTGCCGTAAGGCATCGAGCACCGGGAAGCCGAAGCCTTCGTACAGCGAAGGATAGACGCTCCAGGCGGCCGTTCGTGTGAGTTCACACAGTTTGGCGTCGGAGACCACCCCCAGCAGTCGCACGCGGCGTTCGCTGCCCCGTCGTTGGTAGTGCCGCAATTGGCGGCGACTTGTGAGCCAACCCCGAGGGCCAACCCACCAGAGTTCGGCGTCGTTGGGGAGGACCTTCGTCGAGTGGAACCACTCGAGTAGCCGGGGGGCGTTCTTGCGGGGCTCGAGCGTCGACACGACCAGGCCAATATTCTTCGATCGCTTCACATCGGGCCGGCCAACGTGTTTTTCGACGCACAAGCTGGGGCCTGGATGGGATACGAAGATCCGATCTTGATCCAGGTCGGTCAGCCACGAGGCGTCGGCCTTGGTCGAGTGCGAGATAGCCAGGGCCAAGTCGGTCGAGAGCAGACTGCGGGCACAGAACCCTTGATACAACAACCGCACGCGAGGCGTATGGGTGGCCGGCACGATCAGCGGGGTGAAGTCGTAGAGAATGCTGACTTCGGTGGGGAACCATTTCTCGATGGGCCGCAGGCAGCACCACACACCAAGGCTGTTTTGCGGGGGTTCGCCCAACGGTACGCGGCGGCTCCGAGAGATGCGACGGGCCCATTGCTGCAGGTCCTGGTCCTGCGACCAATTCACGTCGGGCGATACTTGCAGTTCCCATTGCCCGGCGAAGAAGCGGATGGTGGCCTGACGTTTCATTGCCATCGCCAGCCGAGCCGTGTAACGCCCGATGCCGGTCAAATGCCGCTCGTTCAATGGGTTAGCGTCGAAATAGACAATTGGCTTGCCGTCGTTTGCTGGCACTTCTTTCGACGCGGTCATCGATGTCTCTAACCGTGGGTGAATTCAGGCGGGAAGGATGCAGGTGGCCACTCGCTGCTTGCAGTTTCTCAAGCGAAACCAGCTTGCTAGCGGTTGGGTGGCCAGGAGCGAGGGCGAGATCGTACCTCGCAAGCGGAACCTCAACAAGACGAGTCGCTTTCGGCGATTCATGCTGCACGGCCAGTGGCCGGTGAATTATTTGCTGGCAATTTTCTTGACCTGTCTATGAGCAATCGCTACTGTACTATCACTCTAGTACACTTGTGAGCGTAAGCATGTTTTTCCCAATTGATCCATCGAACGGTTTGGCGATTTACGATCAGGTGGTGCGGCAGATCAAGTTTGCCGTCGCCGGGGGTGTGTTGCGTTCTGGGGAGTTGGTCCCCTCGGTACGCGAGCTAGCACGCGAGTTGGCCATCAACCCCAACACCGTGGCTCGGGCGTATCGACAACTGCAGGACGACGACGTCTTGCGGGCTGTGCGCGGTACGGGGCTGGCCGTGGCCACGGGGGCCGCTGAGAAATGTCGCCGCGAACGGCTGCGGCTGATCCGCGAGCGATTCAAGGTCGTGCTCGAAGAGGCCAAAAGAAGTGGGATCGATCCCGACGAACTCCGCGGACTGATTGACAGAGAATTGGTGGCAAGCGAACGAAAGGAACCCTGATGATGCAACCGGTGATTAGCTTCGAGAGGGTTACTAAACGGTTTGGCACTCAACTCGCCCTCGACGGGGTGAGCTTGGAGATTCCCCGTGGTGTGGTGTTCGCCCTGTTGGGAGAAAACGGGGCCGGCAAGACAACCGCCCTGCGGATTGCCCTGGGGCTGGAAACATCCGACTCCGGCGATACTCACGTGCTGCGGCTCGACAGTAAACACAAGGGGCAGGAAATCCGCCGTCGCGTGGGGTACCTGCCCGAGCGGCCGACGTTGTATAAATGGATGACCGTCGACGAGATCGGCTGGTTCACTGCTGGGTTTTACGACGCCGATTATCTCCCCCGCTATCGCCAACTCGCTGCTGCGTTCCGCTTGCCGGGCGATCGCAAGATCAAGGCCTTGTCCAAAGGCATGCGGGCCAAAGTCGCCTTGTCGCTGGTGATGGCCGACGAGCCGGAGCTGATGATTCTCGACGAGCCGACCTCGGGGCTCGACACGCTGGTGCGTCGCGAGTTCCTGCAGAGTATGGTCGACGTGGCCGCCACCGGGCGGACCGTCGTGCTTTCCAGTCATCAAATTGGCGAAGTCGAACGGGTGGCCGACCATGTGGCCATTCTCCACGCCGGTCGGTTGGTTGTGGTCGAACGCTTGGACGACCTCAAGGCCCAAACCAGGCAGCTCCGTCTCGCCATGCACGAGGCCACTCCCCTGCCCGAGTTCGAGGGTGAGATTCTCACGGCCCAGCGTCGTGGCCGGCAGTGGCAGGTGGTGGTGCGCAATCTTCCGGAAGATGAGTTGCATCGCCTCCATGATAGCGACCTGGTTTATGAAGCGGAGTTGCGGCCCCTCTCGCTGGAGGAAATCTTCGTGGCTTACCTGCAGCGTGAAGAAACCAGACCCCCGGCGCCCAGCCAAGCGGAGGCCCTACTGTCATGAACCGCTCTCTGCTGCGAAGTGTGGTGTGGAAGGAGTACCGCGTGCTGCGATCAGTCTGGCTCTCGATGCTGGTCATCGCCGTTTCGATGCAACTGCTGGTGCTGGTGTCGTTCGCGTTGTCTCAGAACTCGAATCCGGATCTCAGCGAATTGCCTGACTGGCTGTTTGGAATCGCGCTGACGATGAGCGCGATGTACGCCCTGGGCTGTACGGCGGCGCTGTTCTCAGCAGAGCGAGAGGAAGGCACCCATGAGTTTTTGATGCTGCGGGCACCATCGCCTCGCGCGGTGATCGCGGGGAAAGCTGCCTTCGGTATGCTGACGGTCGTTGGACTGGTGGTGCTACTGTGGAGTGTCGCATGGCTATTTTCCGGCCGGCAATTTCCTGATCCAAAGATGCAGCGCGATCTGTGGGGCACGATGGGATTGGCGATCTTAGAGCTGTTTGCCTGGGGCACCCTGTTCTCGCTGTTGCTGAAACATCCCCTACGTGCTGCAATCCTGGCTGTGGCGACGTCTTCAGTAGTCATGCAATTCTTGCCCCGCATTTATCCCGGACCGGGAGAACCACATTGGCTGCTGAGTCCTTACATGGGTGCGCTCCCCGCCCGCGTGGTGGTACTGGGACTGCTTGTCGCGATCGATGTCTGGTTTGCTGGTCGATGGTTCCAGCGGCCGTGGCAGTGGAAGCGTGAAACAACGCAAGTGCCAACGCTTGATTCCGTGGCGAGTGATCGCGTGGTCGGTAAATCTCGTTCACTCAACCGAGCGACCAGGCTCGGCCGTCTCGTCTGGCAGCAGTGGCGGCATACAGCGGTTACCACGGCTATGGTCTTTGGAGGGATGTTGCTTATTATCGCGCTGATTGCTATCGATTGGGAAATCGACCTAAGCGTGCTCCTTCCCGTCGCGGTTGTGGTCTCGGCATTGATTGGGGTGTGCACTTTCTTGGCGGACAAACAGGAGTTGAGTTTTCGTTTCTTCGTTTCGCATGCTGCTTCTCCCAGCGATGTCTGGCTGAGCCGAGTTGGGGTGGGGCTCATAGTATTGATCCTCGCCACGATCTTCTTCTCGATCGTCGTGGCGGGACTGGCGGGATCGGGGCAGCCCGCCTTTCTGGTCAATCACCCTTTGAACCGGATGCAACAACTGCCGTACCTGCTCAGTATTCCCATGCTGGCTTACTGTGCCGGGCAACTGTGCTCGCTGTTATTCCGCGGCGGATTGTTGGCGGCCTTCTTCGGACTTTTCCTCGCCGGCCTGCTCGTCGGGTGGGACTTTCTCATGCTGGTAATCGCTACTCCCTGGTGGTGGTCGGTGGCACCGTTGATTGCCGCCCTGCTATTGGCCACCTGGCTGCGGATGCCCGCGTGGTTGCTGGAACGCGGAGGCTGGCGACCTTGGCTACCGGTTGCCCTGGTACTTGTGGTGCCCACGATTGCCATTCTCGTCGCGGTGCCTTTCTTCCGTGTGTACGAGATACCCCTGCAAGATCCTGGCTTTTCCGTGGCAGAGTTCACAAAGCCGCTCTCCGCCGAAGAGAAACAGACGGCCGACATGTATCGCCGGGCTTGGGAATTGATCGAGCCCGTGGAGTTGATACAGCCGAAGAAGGGGTCGGAGGAATCGGAAGAAAACGAGGATCAACAAGCGAAGCTTTGGCATCCGCCGGAACTGAGTGAGAAGCAAGTTCGCTGGGTCGAGAAGAATTCAGACGCGATTGAATTGGCCCTACAAGCCAGTGCCCGTGGACCGTGCGTGCTTGATGACCCTACCCACGGCCCTTTTTACTCAATCAACTTCTACCATGCCTACGAACTGGCACGCCTCTTGGGGGCAAGTGCCCAGGTGCTTCAATCGGAAGGCAAATTAGAAGAAGCGTTCGATCGCTATCGAGTGATACTGCGTTTGGCGAACGATCTACGCCGTCGCGGGTCTGTGTTTGGATGGGGCGACTATTACCATGTGGATTCAGTCGCTGACAACTACCTACCAACTTGGGCAGCCTCTCAGGGCCAAACTCCCGAACGCATTCGCGAGGCCATTGCAGAATTGCAGCAAATCACCCAGGACTCACCAGTGCTGACGGACTTTGTCAAATCAAAGTATGTGCGGGTGCGGCGCCTCCTCTCAGGCGACGTCGAGTCGCTTGCAAACTTGGATTTACTGGACTCGATGGAAAGCAACTTGATTTGGTATCACTATTTTGGCCCTTGGGAGATCACACGGGCTAGAAGACTGCTGAATGTCATCACCGAGATGGACCTCTATCGGGCAAGTGTGGTGCAAGACGCTGGAGAAGAAGGGTTTCCTCTTCTCTCGAACGATGCGAATTGGTTTTGGGAAGATAAAGTTCCGTGGTCGCACTCTACATTGCTCTTGAGTCGATATTCCGAAGACTTACGGGACGTCGCCCTGATGTCAGGTCGAGGGAAAGCAAGACGCCGCGCAACGATCTTATTAATAGCATTAGCCGCATGGCACGATGAACATGGCCAACTACCAAGGTCCCTCAAGGAACTTGTCGGCCCCTATTTTGAGCAATTGCCCGTCGATCCATATACAGGGATGCCCTTCCACTACCGACCCGAAGGCTTTCCCACCCCGATCCGTTTTGGATCTCCACGCGAACCCATTCCCGCCGGGTGGCCTCTAATCTGGAGTGTCGGAAGCCTTGATGCGCAAGTCGTTCTCGCCAGTACGAATGGCCTTGACGTTTACGTGGTCCAAAGCATCAGCACCGGGAGCCTCCGCCACGCAACTGAGAACTACAACGTAGGCCAGGCTTTCCCCCTACCCGAATTGAGCCAAGCGAAACCATGATTCCGCAGTCTGCGAGTAAGGATTAACTAGCCGTGACCTTCGTGAACTTTCTCACCCCCATCTTGCAGAGCTCACCGCCATCCAGTAGCTTCGAGTGCATCTCCTCGATGTCCCCGTAGCTCAATTGGATAGAGCGTCGGCCTCCGGAGCCGAAGGTTAGAGGTTCGAATCCTCTCGGGGATATTCCTTTAAAGAGAAACGAGTAAAGCCGTTAGCCCACCAAGCCCCTCAGCCGAATCCTGTCGAGCTTCTTCCATTCCCCCCATAAACCCCCCCACTAATGCGGATTCTTTGCAGTCGAAACGCGAACTATGGCGGAGTTCGCCTGAAAATGACTCCGTCATACCGATTGCTAAGCAATCGGCAGATATCGTTGCGTGACCCTTAGTTCCACAATTGGCAATCCCAGAGTGAGCAGGTTCTCGAAACTACAATTCTGGCAGGGAATTTTCGCCCATACACACTAGCAGGCTGTCACTACTCCCGGCGGTGGTGAATCCCGCCGCAAGATAAGATATTGAGAGGCTGAACAAAATCGAAGAGGCCTCATAAACCTGGATTCTCAGCGGCATAGTTAGCTATTCCCAGCAGGATTCGAAACCAGTTTTCGCCTGCGGCTAGGGTGGTCAGAGCATAACTCGTCGCGCCGAGGTGATCGAATCGCATTTGAATGCGGCGGTGGCCTTGTTGTCCAACTGATCGTTCGTTCCGATCCGTCACTTTTATTGTTCCAGATCAGCTACTTTCTTGCTGATCAAAGAAATACGCATGATCACCCGCGCCAGATTCTCTTTGCCACGTATCGCCCAAGATACTCGATACAGATTTCTGGATTGGCCGTGCCATTCTGGAATGCCTGGGCACATCGAACCGTTTCCACAAGGGCCCGTTCCTGCAATTCCTCATCGTTTCGCTCAAACAAATGCTCATTGAGCAGTTGCAACAGGATACATTCTGACGCACACGTGTTGCGAAGAAGGTCCCGCACCAAGTAATTGGGGGCATCGGTGTGATTTTCTTTTTTGACGAGCATGATCTCATTTCCGTTGTTGATGAGCTCGCCCTGACCATGAAGCACCTTTAGTTGCCCGATTCGGGCTTGATCAATTGCTCGATTGTCGAGAAGGAACACTTGTGGAAAGTGAGGACGGTCCCAGGGTGGAACTGGGTAAGTCTCAACTTCTTGGAATCCACCGATTCGTTGCAGTTTACCCAATACCAACTGCTCCCAGGTGCGGTACACCGCGGTAATCCGATAGCGATAGTCATAGGCGAACTGCCCATTCTCCGAACGCCAAGGGACTTCGAGCAAGAAGACGTTGTGGTTCTGTTCCAAATCCAAGAGTGCCGCTTCCAGTGGTCCAAGGCACCCGGAACAACCATGCCACGAAACATGCACAACAATGATCTGCTTGACGGTTTGCTGTGAGGCCAGAAGTAGAGCGTCGAGTAACTCATCCACGGTTTCAACTAACTGGTGGGTTTCGATTCGCTTTGGGTCGTATGGCATCTTTGACACCCCTTTCCATTAAGGATTCATTAGGTTGCAGGCGTCCCCTTTGCCTGCAGTACGTATCCAGGGTATTAACTCGCCTTCGTTTGATCATGAGATCAGACTTCGCTCCGAACCTCGAAGACTCTTCAAGAGACTCGATAGTTTCTTACTGCATGAACGTCTCCCATGCGTGCAACTTGACCGAAATCGAAGTCGCCTGGGACAATCATGGTGAACATCCACGACTCCTGGAGAGAAGGCATTCGACATCGGTACGCCTTAACACATGGCATAGTACGACTTCATCCGCTGTATGACTCGCAATTGAATTCACAGAATCAGATAGGTACTGTTCGCGTCAAGCCTTCCAAAGCGTCTGTCTGACGTGTTGAACTTTCAGCACGGCTAGTTTTAAGTTGACACTCGACACTAATAATGGAGAGTTTCCTGCGAGAGCCTGTCCAGCTGCAATGAGGCCGCGATTAAGCTTCACACTCTGACGGATTGAAATTCACACGCTGCCTTCACGCCCGACCTCTTTAGCCAGCTCCTCAAGACAATTCCAGTACAGTCGCATCAATTTCACTTAAGTATATCAGACGTTATCTCGATACACATTTTAGATGATATCATTATTGGCTGTACACATGCGCTAATCGGGCAGATCATGACATCAGATTTTAATTCTGTGTACCTCCCTCTGCCTTAGTGCGAGCATGGCACCAGGCTGGAGCCTCAAGGAGGAGGATCGATGCAGCATCCATCTTTGCGCCTGACGTACGCGGTCGCTTATCTGGTGATGATTCTGGCTGCTTTTAGCGGCTGCACAACTCCCCAGGCTCTGCGCCGCAATACAATCCAGCAAGCCGATACTGTCGCAGACATCCACGAGCAGCAGGTGTTGGATAATCTCGCGAAGTTCATCTATGACCCTTTTGCGATTCCCTCCTTTGCGTACGCGACTAGCGGAATCTCTGAAGTGACTGATCGTGGGAGTGGAGTGTTCGGGCTGAATTGGAATGGCACAGCTTTCACCGGAGCGGAACTGGGTGGCGACGGCTTCCGAAACATACGCGACAGTTGGTCGACGGTCGCGGTTACTGATCCTCGCAAGCTCGAGCTAATGCGTTGCGCCTACCAGCGGACAATCGCAACTTGCGGTCTTGGCCCAGGTGAGTCGCTCACTTGCCCTGACTGTCGAAAACGATTCAACAAGTTTTATACTGGTCGCGAATTTCAATCGCAAACTAAACCTGATGGCACCCGTTGCTTCGATTGCGACGGACATCACATCGCAAATCTGGTATCCGGTCCGACGGACGATCCACGAATCTGTGGATTGTGCGATTGCAATCCTTTAGGATCAGAGAACACCGTTAATATACCTGGTACCGAAAGCGTTCCCCCAGGAACCACGAGTGAATCTGACGAGCGTTATCGACACTACTGCAAAACAGTTGCTTCACCTGGAAACGGCATTGCAAACTCTGAATGTTTGTACTCTTCGTGTTGGTTTTGCTATGGAACCGACAAAAAGTGTGTACCCGATGACTGCGGCTACGTTGGTCACTACTGTGGAATCTACGTCTGGGTGCCACCTGGACCGAGTCGCGACACACTGGCGAGGCTAACTCTTGCGATATTGGATTACGCAGTGAACGAGGACCGCGAACTTCCGACCAAAGAGGTCACCGCATATTTGCTTGAAGATGGGACGTTGACAACCGAAGCCAAAGCTAAGGTTGTTGTGAAGGCCACGATCAGAGCCGATGAACCGAGCTTAGCTGTCATTAGACCTGACGTGATATCGATCAAAGAAGCCACCAAGCTACGTTCATTTGACGATATCGAAGCCGAACAACTCGAAGCACAAAGAGAGCGAATTCTTCGCTTACCGCCGGTCCAGCCGCGACCTCAGCGACCGTCGCCAACCCCAGGTTCCATGCTGCTGCCGCTGGAGCAACAACTTGACAGAGTCAATTGACGCCTTCATCCCATAGCGAAGGGAAGCAATGCTACCCCTTGAGTAACGTCTCGCCTAAGGGATTTCGCTATTCCGTGGAGAGCTTATTACTGACCTCTGCAAAATAAATGAACCAATGTGGCTGCTATCACCGTAACAGGGAGCATGAGATCTCCAGGCACCGCTACGAACTTGGAAGCGAGTCGCAGACGGGCTGGGGATCTCCTAGCGGACGGGATGAGAAACTTCGCCTGATGCGAAGCTACTATTACGGCGTCAGCGACCTTTTTGTCGGTTACCTCCCCTGGTTGCAATCAATTGCATGAGGTGGGCGGGAGCTTCATTGTTCATGTTGCACATGAACGCGGTGATGGCACACTAGGCACGTATTGGGCTCACCCTGGTAACCTGCACCGGGGGAAATCGCCCGCCGCAAAAAGTAGTGGGTCGCAAACTAAGTTCTCAAGGCAGGCCGAAGCAGCGGTCCTAGTTTGTCGATTTGGCCGATGCACTTCCACTCGCTACTTGAGCGGCCTCGGCGTTTACGAGCTGCGCAGAATTAGGCCCAATTCGCGGCCGCATAGACTTGAAGCGACGCTCAGGATGTATTCGACGCGAACTAAACTCAAACTATCTCTCACAACTCGACACCAGCATTCACGCTCTGCGACCAGGTCGCCTGGGTCTTGTGGACCCTGGTGTCGAGCCGTCGACTACTTGCATGAGGTGCCTGCCTAAGCTTTGTGCAAAACGGACCGGAACCGCGTTGCCGATCTGCAAGGCGATGTGCTTGTTCGACCCGTAAAAGATGTACCGATCCGGAAACGACTGCAAAGCTGCAGCCTCCCGCAAGGAAATCGCCCGATTTTGCGTAGGATGTCCGTATCTTCCGTTCGAGATGCTGTGACATCGCCCCGTGAGCGTCGGGGCCGGCGAATCCCATGCCATCCGTCCGTACACGTCTGTATGACCTGCGTAGCCATTCTTGTGACAGTTAAGCTGCAGGCGGCGAGGCCACGATCGCCGATCCCCACCGTCGTGGGGGGTATGCACCAAACGTTCGAGGTTCTTGTCCGTGATGCTCGCAGAAACATGATTCGGGACGTCTTCGTGGCACTCACCCGCCGATACTTCTGGAAAGTGCGAAATGGCGTCACGGACGGTGCGGAGGGGACGACCGCCGCCCCCATAGACCTCGGAAGGCAGGCAAACGTCACTGCCGCGCACCGCGACCAGCACCAACCTACGTCGGGTCTGAGGCACACCGAAATATTTCGCGTCCAGTATGTCGTAGGTATACGCATAGCCGTTGACTCCCAGCATCCTGACAAATCGTTTAAAAGTACTAAAGCCCCCAACGCGTGCCATACCGGGAACGTTCTCCATCAAAACAGCTCGAGGCCTTGCCGTTTCTACGAGCGCACCGAAGCGAGTCAACAGCGTCGTGTTCTCGCCACTATATCTGCGTCTTCGTTGCTGACTGAACGGTTGGCACGGTGCGCAGCCGACAAACAGAACATCCTCAAACTTCCGTAGCCGTGTGGTGGAACGCAACCTGGGAACGTCAATATCTCGGATGTCGCTGCAGTTAAACTTCGAGCTCGGATTGTTCGATTCATATGATTCCGCACACCCCTCATCAACGTCGAAACCGCCGACAACCTCCAGCCCGGCGTCGATTAGTCCGCGCGTCAGTCCTCCTGCGCCGCAAAAAAAATCTATCGCTTTCATGAATCGGAATCTTGCTCCTCATCCCATACCGAAATGATTTCGTCTCTCCATGAATCGAAATCTCGGTCCGGAAGACCGGGACGACACGCCGTTTGCATATAGGCCCACGCAATCAGTTCTTTGAACGGGCTGTCGATCGAAGATACCCGGCTATACTCCGAAGACTCGGACGTAACATGTGACACGGGGATCAGCTTCAGTCTTCTCACGTTCGCCGCCATCGTCGGCAATCGACCTTCGAGTTTCGGCAGCGGAATAATGCCGTCCAGGAATCCCTGAGATAACAAACTACTCGGTAGACGTTCCTTCAACTTCTTCTTCGATAACTGACCGAGCCCTGTGGCATTGATACCTTCAACGACCGAAACGCATGATGCAACCAGTACATCACCGACTTTCGCGGAACGTCCGCCGGACGCTACAAGGTCACAGGAAGGTGTTAGCACCACAAAAAACGAAGACGGGTCCTCATTCGAGCCGTCTTTCTGTTGGAGAATGTCTCCTAGCCTGACGTCTTCGCCAACGGGCGGACTCAGATATTGCTCCCATCCTTGCAGCTTCTCGCCGTGACGCGACAAGTCATCCATAAGGGCCGCAAGTCGTCTCTGTGCGGACCGCACGATCGCATTGCGACGATCTTCCTCCTCCGCGAAAATCCGGAATGCGTCTGGAGCGACATCTCGTAGGGCGAGCGACACTTCCCTTCTGATTCGCGATTCCGTTTCCCGCACTGCTTTTACATGAGGTCGAAATTCTTGCACACACATCTTGATTTCTTGGTCACTCCCCCTCCCTTTCTGCACAAACCGCACAAAGGGATGATCTTCACAACCTTCGGACAAGAGCTCAGGGTGAGCGGAGTAGACTACAATCGGGCAGAACCGCTTCTCCCAAATGACATCGTACGTTGTCTTCCCGACGGGATCGGGCTCACCGCTTGAGCCAGACTCGAGAATGTCGAGAACGACAATGTCCGGCAAGAATTCATCGAGAGCCTTCTCAGCCTCTTCAAATGGCCTCACATCGGACAGACACTCTGTCTTTAGAGTCTCTTGCACTGATTCAACCGCCTGCGGCTCGTCTTCGACGAACAATAACCTGAGCATCTCCGTCTCCTCTTTACTCCGCCACCGGGATATCAAAGGCGAACGAGGCGCCCCCCAAGGTCCCCGGCTGCTTGATGGTCATTCTTCCGCCATAGGAAGCCACAATCTCGGACGCGACCGTGAGCCCCATTCCGATGCCGCCCGGTTTTCTCGTTACGCCCGGCAAGAGGATTTTCTCGGCGTCTTCCTCTTCGATACCGGGGCCCGAGTCATGGAACCACACACGCAATCGTTTACCCCCATCGATCGGAGAAAAACGGAACTGCATCTCCCTGGCATCCTTCGCCCGTTGTCCCAGCCAATACGTTGCATTCGTGAGCAAGTTCAGAATCACGGCTTCCAACTCTCCGGGATCAACGGCGACCGCCGATTCAGAACTTGGTACGCTCACAGAAATATGCTTTCGATCGATCTCTTGTTGCATTACGTCGAGACAGTTATTGATCCGCTCCTCTAAAATGGATCGCCGCTTGCGCCTGGTAAAGCTCCTGCTCGCCAGCGGAGAGAAGGTATCGGCGAGGCGTTCGAGCGCTATCACGGAGTTTTCCGCGTAGCGGTACTGCCGTGCAAGAACATCGTCGTTGAAGGGACCAAACCTGTCTTTTATGAAGTCGAGAAAAGTCCCGAACGATGTTGTCCTGTTGCGAATTTCGTGCACAAGCATCTGCGCGATGGTACCGATGGTAGCCATTCGACTGTAGTAGACGAATCGCTCCTGAATTGTCTTGCGAGCAATGTCGAGGGATTTATTGAAGGTTTTCAGCAGCGGCACGGCTTCGCTGGCCTCGGCGCCTTCCTCCGCGAGAGCAAGAACCTCCGCCAAGAGTTCCTCGGCAGAAAGTTCCTCGAACAGATCGGCGGCGGTTTGCTGCGGCTCGCGTTTTACGCGATCAAAGTCCCGTTCGTTCTCAAGAAGCCCTACGATGGATTTAAGAATTTCTTCGAACTCGCCAACCTCCAAACGGGAGACAAGCCGTTCGCGGTCGCTCGTGTCGACAATGTTGGGATTCGCCTTGGCCGTGATCGAAACATAGCCAACCAATTGGCTGGTGCTCATACGATCCCCAACCTTGCTCACGCGACGCAGATCGAGGCCCAGCCAGTCACGTGCTCCTTCCGACTTCGGCAAAACGAGGATGCCGTCGCGATAGACAGACAAACCCTTGTGGGCTCGGATTGCTTTTCGCACCTGGTTTCTCTGGCACTCGAACTTGTCCGCTATCTCCTGAGTGTCTTCTGGTCCGAGGTCCCATGCCCTCAATTCAAAGTCGAACGGACCGCAGTGTGCGCGCTTATCCGAAAAACGAAACCGGGTCCTGTCCTGAATGTCGTCGTAAATCTGCTCCCACGAATGAGAAAGTTTTCTCGTCCGCGGTTTTCCTTTCTTAATCGGCTTGAAGTTATAGCGGCCTTGTACGTTGCCGCGCGCGTCGACATGCCCCACAATCGAGTATTTCGGATGTGACAGGAAAGTCGGCGACTCGATCCTGACTTCCCCGGAATCGCCTCTGAGCCGGTCGGGAGCAGATATGTAAATATTGAAGTCCCCATGGCTCGCGAAAGGCGATATCAGCCGTGCCAGGTTCTCCTCCAGGTCGTTGATCTGAGCCTCGCCCCAGTAGCTCTCCAGATTCTCTATCCGCAAGCGTGTGCCCGATTCCTCGAAAGGACTCTTGCCCGCGTACGTTCGGCAACGGGCAAAACAAGTGATCAGGTCCTCCTCGCTAGCAAGCTCTGACCAATCGACAACGAGCTCCCAGCACCGCCCCACCTCAGTCTGCGTAATCAGCTGCAACTTTGAACCCAGCCGAGCCACCGAGAGACGCCCGAGACCTTTCTCGCCCGCTACACGACGATCTTTTCTACCGCTCTTGACTTTGGGATTATCCGCCTTGAAGGGAGTCGCCACTACGCACCACACGTCTTCGATCACGGCCCTTGACATGCCGAATCCGTCATCTTCGATAATGATCGATTCTCCGCCGCCTTTGTCCAACTCGAAACGAATCCACACGTTCTCCGCGAAGGCGTCATACGAATTCTTCACCAACTCGATGACGGCGACCACGTCATTCGTGACAAGGTCGGCACCCAACGCCGCGAACACGCGCGGATGCATTCGGAACGGGATCTTGTCAAACTTGGTGTCTCTCGACGCCGAACGCTTCTTCGCCATAGTTAAACTCCCGTGCAGCTTAGAGTCCGCGGAAGCTCAGCCCTCGTGCGCTTCGACAGCAGGAAGCACTGTGCTTTCGTCAGAATCGATGAGTACACCGTTGGTTCGTTACGCACGTGCCCCCTCAATGCACACTCCCAGACGGTCAGCACTCTCCACCCGCTGTTAAGAAGTTCTTCGATGTCGCGTTTATCACGCTCCTTGTTGCCTTCGAGCTTATTCTCCCACCACTCTCGGCGCCTCTTTGGCAGCGTGGATCGCTCGCATCCGTGGCGATGCCAGAAGCAGCCGTGCACGAAAATGACGGCTGAGTACTTCGGGAACACGATGTCGGGAGTCCCCGGTAAATCTCGGCGATGCAAAGAGTAACGGAATCCGAGCGCGAACAGACCCTTGCGAACGAGAACCTCCGGCTTTGTATCCTTAGACCGGACCGAGGCCATCATTCTACTGCGGGTTTCCGTCGTCACCCGATCGGCCATTAATATAGGTCCCTATGCACAGAACGCGTTCAAGCTCGCGGCTTCCGGAGAGTTGTACTCAATGGGCAGCAGTCGGTTACCTGCGATTCCCGTGACTCGCTGTCCTCTTCAAAAACTTCGTTAGCGTCTCCCGCCGGAACAGTCTGTAGTTGTTCGCCGGGTTCCTGATCGACTCGATTTTTCCCTCGTCCGCCCACCGGCGAAGCGTATTCTCGGATACCCCCAAGAATTCGGAGGCCTCAGCAACCTTCAGGTATTCGTCGAGCTTCTGTGTCACCAGTTGAATCTCAGGTCTCCAAAGCGATTCCGCCCGACCCCGCAACTCTACCAAACCCTCTCATTTGGTGAAATACCCGCATTGCTTAGTGCTGGAGGAAGTTCCGTCCAGGCCGAGTTGCCCTTTGAGAACCAGACCATGGCCAACCGACATAGCGCCTTGTTGCGTGCGGACTCAAGCCATGGCCGAGCTGATCGTCAACGTAGCTCCCGCTTGAGCTCCTTGAGGCGAAAGACAACTCGGAACAAACCTTCCCCGTCGTACTGCGCCCTCACGTGCCGGCCACCAATTAGCACTTCCACCAGCTCTAGGTGCGAAACCTGTACGGCATAAGCAAGCCCACGACCCTTGAGAGTGCCCATGAAAAATGAGCCTGCCTGGATTCTTGGTCCAGCTTCGATGCAAGTTTTGTTGATTCAGTCATCCGCTGGAAAGGTGAGCGCAGCGAAACTTGGAAGTGGATGACTGTGCCGCGAACTCCACGGGGGTGGCATTGCCCAACGCACTGTGCGGGCGATGCTGGTTGTAATCTTCCCTCCAATGCTCGAGCTTTTCTTGAGCGTCCTCTAGGCTGATGAACCAGTGTTCATTGAGGCACTCCTGACGAACTCGACCGTTAAACGATTCAATGTACGCGTTATCTGTTGGTTTGCCAGGCCTGCTGAAATCCAGTTTCACCTCGTTGAAGTAGGCCCACCAATCAAGCGACTTCGAGATGAACTCGGGTCCATTATCCACACGAATCGACTTTGGCTTGCCGCGAAGCCGAGTCACTTCTTCAAGAACCGAGACCACGTCGTCTCCTTTCAGCTTCTGCCCGACTCGAATGGCAAGACTCTCACGGCTAAAGTTATCGACTAACGTCAACAGCCTGAATCGCCGGCCGTTGAAGAGCTGATCGGCCATGAAATCCATGCTCCAGCACTGATTCATGCAAGTTGTCGACGGCCGATCCTCGCGAACCTGGCAGCTGCGGTTCCGCCGCGGCCGCCTTCGTCGGATCGACAGGCCTTCTTCCTTGTAAATCCGATAAACCAGCGTGTGCCCGACTTGCCAGCCCTCTCGTTGAAGCAAGATATGCAGACGCCGGTATCCGTAGTGCACACGGCTTGCCGCCAAATCGCGAAGTCGAACCCTCAATTCCGCCCGTTCATCACGAACGCTTTCGTAACGGTGGCTCGAACGCGGGAATCCCAATGCTGAGCAAGCCCGTCGCTCGCTCACTTGATATGCTACCCGCAGCTTCCTCACCGTCTTGCGTCGATGAACGGGCTTTAGACCCTTCCCTCGACAACATCCTGGAGCATTCGCTTGTCGAGGCTCAGATCGGCCACCAACTGCTTGAGTTTCTTGTTCTCCTCCTCAAGCTGCTTCAAACGTCGAACTTCGGCCACACCCAACCCGGCGTACTTCTTCCGCCAACGGTAGAACGTTGGCTCCGAAACACCCATCTTGCGAATAATCTCCGGCACCGGTGTGCCCGACTCCGCCTGCCGCAAGGCAAAGGCGATCTGCTCTTCGGTGTAACGATTCCGCTTCATCAGTTTGGTCCTCCCAGGCTACATGCAAGGTAACGAATTTCTCGCATCTCGCGCGGACCAAGATTCCCATAGCAGGTCAAACGGATTTGTCCTTTTCACATTCGCTGTACAATGTTGGTTCGTCATGAGGCAGCTAGGATATTGGTACCGCTGTCGAACTAGGGGCGATTCTCGCCAGAATCTTGGCAGCCGAACCCACGTCAATGGAAGGTTTAATGGTGCGAATTCCATCGCGGCCCGCGACCGCCAACATCCAGATACCGTAAGAGCACGGACGCTGAAACCACTGCGCCTGAAATTCAGGCTTTTGCCTGTATTTATTTGGATGCAGGGTTTTCTTAGCACTGGTGATTGGGGAGAACTTAACTGGAATTTCGTTCCGATTGGCTGCCAACTGAACGCATCTGATGGGAAGCAAATGCAATTTCCATATTAAAGCGATATAAACGTCGAGTGAAGCGGTTGTTGATATCGACTAAGAGGCCTGGTAGAAAATATCCATACTGATGGCCAGTTTCGAGGACGTGCGGTGGATTTGAGGAGGCGAATTCATCGCCACGCGTGGGGCGCAAGCGATGGGCCACGATGAGCAAACACCACTATGTGAAATGACCGACAGGCTCCGGCCAGCATTGGAGGCATTGCTTCAAGCTGTCAGGTACGCTGTCGACACGGACAGCACAGTGTGGGACTTCGCTATATCGATCCGGCGACTTCTCGAACTCGGAGCAAGCGAAACGGATATGCGCTGGCTCGTCCGCAAAGGCTTCGTGGAACACGGTCGCGAGGTAACAATCGAAGGCGACGATGGCCGCGAATTTCGCCCGACCGGCAATCTCACCTTTTCTCGGAAAACCTGCTTCGTTCTTACCGACACAGGAATCAAAGTTGCAAGTCTGCAATGCGATGCATCGAACAACGGACGAGCAACATCACCGGACAACAATGTGCAAAAAGATACCCACCCTCCGTTGCCGGTGCCAGGGTGGGATGCTGATTCACGAGAGCTACAACTCGGCGGCCAACTTGTAAAACGCTTTAGATGGCCCGCCGCGAATCAGGAAGCAGTATTGTGTGCTTTTCAGGAAGAGGGATGGCCGGAACGAATCGACGACCCACTTCCGCCGCAGCCTGAGCAAGACTCTAAGCGTCGCCTGGCAGATACAATCAAGTGCCTCAACCGAAAACAGTTGAACGAACTGATTCACTTTCGTGGAGACGGAACAGGTGAAGGCGTCCTGTGGGAACGGAGCGACAAGAACGAAAAGGCGACTGACGTTTAATGTTGCACTTTCTACCCCATCGTTTTCCGTAGCCTGAATTGCTGGTGCTGCACTACTCTGTGAATTGTTTCGGCTCAACCCGAATCCCAATTGCTTTTGCACCATCGTTAGCAGTGGAATGCAGTGTCTAAATTCATTCCCCAAGGAATGGGATGGATTCCTGATCAGCCCGACCCACGTGATTACACGTATCGGCACCAAGAGATCCTGCCCATATTGCAGCAGCTCAAGCCCTGTCCCGAGGATCTCCCCGATGCAGTCGACCTAAGACACGGCGACGAAGGTGAAGTATTCTTCGCGGACGTTGAAGACCAGGGTCCTCTACATTCGTCGACTTCATTGACGGTTCTCAGTCTCATAGAATACTTCGAGCGTCGCATTCACGGCCGAACGTTCGAAGGCTCGACATTGTTTCTGTACAAGATGGCACGCAAGATGCGCCGTACGACGGGCGATTGCGGTGCAGACCTTCGAACCACATTGAAAGCGTTGCGGCGCTTTGGAGTTCCTCCAGGTGAATTTTGGCACACACACCCCGAACGATTCGACGCCGAACCCTGTGATGTGAGTCTGATAGGGTACGCGCGCGACTACCAAGACATGTCTTATTTCCGCCTTGACGCCCACGATGCGAGTCTCCAAAGAACAAAGAGCCGCGACTTTCACCACTCCCTCGGTTCTAGAACGCTACGGACGGTAAAGTCATTTCTTTCCGGTGGATTTCCCGTTGCCTTCGGGTTTTCAGTATCAAAGTCGATGAGCTCTGACCCAAACATCCCCTATCGCCCCGCATTTGATTCGTTTCGCGGCGGTCAAGCGGCTTTGGCAGTCGGCTACGACGACCACAAAGACACGTCGCCCAAGGGCGTAATCCTAATCCGCAACAGTTGGGGAGAAACGTGGGGCGAGGCGGGTTACGGATGGCTGCCGTACGCCTATGTCGAGCACCACTTGGCGACGAATTTCTGGGGTCTGCTGCGAAAGAACTGGCGTGACTCTCACGAGCTCCTTCTTCCAGCGGTTCTTGCCCCGCGAGGCATCTGTGAAACGGAGACAGAAGCCGACCTGACTCAATAGAGTGGAGGGCAGTGCCTCGTCCCTCTGCAAGGGAAGCCATTGGGAAGCCGATCGGACCTGTTACCAGAGGCTTTCGGACATTCCTTCGGAACATGCGATTCTGATCCGAACCGCTTCCGTAGGCATCTCACTGTTGTTCGTTACGCTAAACTCCAGATCGACCGCCAGTCAGTCACTCGTCAACTATCTAAACACCTTTAGTTCTAGTCGACGATAAGGATCCACAGTGAATCGGCGCCCTGCCACTAACCCACTCATAGTGTTAACACTATCTTTATGTTACTTCTCATGTGAAGTGGCAGATGAGAAGCAGGATACAGCTGCATCGAGAACATCCACACTTGACCGGGAACTGAAGTTGCTTGAATCGCTGCCCACACTTACGCCGTGCCAGGAAACAGTCACCATTGCTTTAATTAACGAGACCGTTCGCACACTCTTTTTGGCACGGGCAAGTAATACCTACTATGAGCCGACGGACATTTGCTGCCTCGATATTATCCCACATGCTGGAAACGGAATACGTTTCATTCACTGTTGACTACAAGCCACGCCGTTTCTGCATAATCGATCCTCAGTGTCTCGTCGTGGTTGACAAGACAGAGAAGAAGGTCGTCGCAACAACCACCCAGTATCACAAATCACCCACGCTAAGCCAGTCGCACTTGAGGACTGCGGCAAGCACCAGTGAAGACGACACTCTTAGCATGCCATGAACTGACTTTATTGAAGAAGTCGTTAGTGGGTGCGACGTAATTCGCAATGGCAACAACTGCGGGATATATGGGTTCATCACAGACCTTACTACAGGACTCGCGGTTCATGTAACCACGCGCTTCGAAGAGTTCCAACCTGTTGGCTGGTACGGATATGCTAGAGCTTACCATTAACAACACAAAGCAATCGTTGAAACCGAGTACTCCAACAATTCACCGCTACATCGTGTGCGTCGTATCCGCGTTATGACTCGATAACAACTAGTTCGCACATCACTTCCTGTGCTGTTTCCGACACTCGTGTTGCTAAGCAGCAATCGCCATTCACTCGAGAGGAACTCCTAATGTTTAGGCCTGCCGTATTCACTATCGCTGTATTCCTTTGCGGCTTCGTGCAAATATGCAATGCGCAACGGACGACCAGCATCCTGATTCAAAACGACTCCGGTGAAGACATCTCGCGAGTCGTCGCTGAGTACTCACGTTTTTATGGTGGCCGGGCTCCGATTCGCGAATCATTTGATGACATTGCTGATGGTGATAACGCGGAATCGCTCGATCTTCGCATGCCCCGTGGAGAGCCGTGTGTGAGGACTCGGTTGAAGTTTCGAGCAGACGGGAATAACTACCATACAGCGTGGTTCTCGCTTCAGAATCGACAGCACATTCAACAGGTGATCTTCAAGCTAAATGGGCTTTCGGGATTCTCGGCGCAACTTACGGAAGAAGCCGATGGTTCACGTCTTAGCGCAGCACGCTCGACCACAACGTTCTTTCAAGGAACGAGCAAAGCAGGAGATGTTTCTAAGGCGCTTTTGGACGCTGCAAACAACGCTCTTGCCGCAAACCCGACATTCGTAAGATGGGAGCTTGTTACAGTAACAGGCAGCCGGGGAGGAATTATCGGGGCAAAGGATGTTACGGCGATTATTCGAGTGCTCTCGGATGACTCCAATGGTGCTAAACAAACGCAGAAGTCGGCTGGTTACAGCGCCCCTGCTGATGGTCGTCACTCTGGGTATATCAGGTTGATCAATGAAACTGAAGATCTTCACGATGTTGTCGTTACGGTCTCAAACTGGCGCCACACTCAAAACTGGTCCGTGCAAAATGGAAGACCGCGAACGCTACGTAATCTCCCAAGTGTGGGCTATGGCGTTGCCGCGTTTAATCCCACTCATCCACGACTTCGAGCCATCGGTGGTGACTCATTTCAACTGGCAGTCCCGTTTGAGATCACGGTGACTGGAAGCGCAAGCAGCTACAAGCTTGAAATCAATCCCCTTGAGTAAAGAACGTTGTTTAATACGTCCTTATAACGGTAATCACCGTCCAGTGGAAACGAATACTGAGGAGACTACACCGTGAATAAACATTGCGCGGTGTCGGACGATGCCGAAACAATCGCTGCCCATGATAAGGGTCGCAGCGGATTTGTTTCTGACGGTCAACAGGAGGTTGACTCAGGCCGCATGGGTGGGTCAGTTGCTGATTATATTGATTGTGATGTCGAAGCGGTCCCAGGCTTTTCGTGGCCGAAAGCACGACATGTTGATCGCCCTGAGCTGTCCAAAGAATGGCTGGACGCCCCGATCGCTTCATCGGATTTTCCAGATCAGCTCCAGAAGACTGTCTGCGATGAAGACGACCGGGTACGAACTGGCACAGGTACATATCCATGGAAATCCATTTGCCGCTTGTTCATCATCAGGGGGACGGGGCGAACCGCGTCGGGTCTGGATTCTTTTTCGGCGAACGTTGCATCATTACTGCTGGACACGTCGTAAATACCAATATTGGTTGGGCTCGCCAGATAGAAGTTGTGCCTGGTATGAATGGCACGGACAGACCATACGGCTCGCAGACCGTTCCCGGAGGTGTCGGCTGGTTTCGAAGCGTTAATGGTTGGATCGATGACAAAGATCCTGACTACGATTACGGGGCAATAATTCTTCCAGACGAAACGCTTTATCAGAGCGTCCGTGCCTATTTTGGATTTCAAATTCGAACGAGCGACGACCTCTTGGGAATTACGGCACACAACAGCGGATACCCAACTGACAGGGACACTAACGCACAGTATTTCAATGCGGACCCGATAAGCGCCGTCGAAACACGTCGACTTCGCTACATGATCGATACGCACGGTGGACAGAGTGGAAGCCCTGTGTGGCGATTCGCCGATGGTAGTCGATATGTCGTCGGTGTTCACACAACGGGCGACTGCCCGAACGGTGCCACAAGAGTAATTCGTTCCGTATTTGATAACTGGCAGGACTGGAAGGCCGAGGGATAATAGCCATATGACTTACGGCTAGAGATCCAGGACCACACACCACGAAGTAAGGAGTATTTTAGATGCCCGTCTATAAGGGGCTCGTCGACCGTGATTCTATTGTTCGCGTACACGATCCCGGTCTATCGAGCACTTTCACTCCTGAAACAAACATAAAAATAGCATTGTCCGAAGATGTAACGGCATCGTATGTCCAAGCAACCAACTGGTTTCCAGGAGATCACATTACATTCCACGCAATTACGGGTGACACGTCGTTGACAGGGCGAAACGTCTTGTCGTGCGAGCGTCCTCGAAACAGCTCTGGCCGATAATCAGTTGAATGGATTATTGTTCATGTCGCAAACTGAAGACTCTGAGGGAAGTACGGAGGTTCGCAATGGGTAGTATTTACTTCGAGGGCACTAGCAACAGACTGCCCGCCAAGGCAGCTGCTGGGATTATCTTTGGTCCGACTGAATGAACACTTCACGCTCACAACCGATCAGCCGCTTGCTTTCAGTGCGGAGTGACCGCAGAGACCCCGCATGGCTGCGGCAAATGTTGCAGGTCGCTGTTCAACTGGAATTCTCAACAGTTCCACCATATCTGTGTGCTCTTTGGTCAATCATGGACGACGACGGGGCGAGCGGTTCGGACCTGAGTGTCTATATGCGTGTGCTGGGCGTCGTCCGTGAAGAAATGGCTCACATGGGGTTGGCTGCCAATCTGCTCAACACTATCGGGGGAACTCCGGAGATTAACACAGAGCAGGTCGTGCCGACATTTCCAGGACGACTGCCGGGAGGTGTGCGCCCGTGCGTGCGGCTGGCACTGGCGGGGATTTCGCTGCAGATTGTGGCGGATATCTTTATGCAGGTCGAGTTTCCGGAGTACGGTCCCGTCGAATTTAACTGCGGTCGAACGTATCCGACTATTGGTGCGTTTTACAGTGCAATCCTGGAGTGTTTCTCGAATCTCGGCAGTGCTTGTATCGGCGGCGATCGTCAGATCGAATACCAGAATGGTCAGATCCATATTTTCCCAGTGAGGAACTTGGCCGACGTGGAGCAGGCAGTCACTACCATCAAAGAGCAGGGCGAAGGCACGACCACCGAACCGTTCAGTCCGTCAGGAGAAACGGCTCACTACTATCGGTTCGGCGAGATCTATCACCAACGAGAAATTGAATCTGACGGCTCGGGAGGCTGGGACTACACTGGAGCCGCCGTGCCGTTTCCAGGAATCTTTCCCTTAGTGGAAGTGCCTCCCAGCGGATACGACACGGCTAGATCGATTGAGTTTGACCGAGTCTACGTGGCAATGTTGGATGACCTGCAGGCCGCGTGGGAGACCGGTGACAGTAGCCACGTGGATTCGTCCGTGGACAGGATGCGAGGAATGAAGACAATCGCGCGGGACTTGATGGCCACACCGCTGCCCAACGGCGGTGGAAACTACTGTCCCGATTTTCGGTTTCTCTAAACGGAAGTGACTGAGTCATGAGAATCACGATTTCACTCCTTACTGCGTTTGTGCTACTTAGTGGCCACGCGTCTGCGACCGACTTGGCTGTCTATTTTGATAATCCTGACAATCACTCGACTGCACCCTATGCTGAACAAATTGTGCAAGGTTATGTGAATCCGCCGCGAATGGGGCGATTTGATGTCGATGGCTCGCGACGAGGGTATCGGCATAGAAACGCGTCGCGCGATACCATCAGAAGCATTCGACTGCGGACGACGGATGACCGCGACAGATTTACGCTAGTGGATGGGGGCGACCTCTTTCCGTTTGCTGAAATCCGAGACGAAGGCAGAGAAGTCGTCTTTGCAGGCGCCAATATTCCTCGTCGCGAATATGTGTGGTCGCGATTTCCTGACCGAATCAGGTCGGACGGAAGCCGTATTTTCTACCTCGGCGAAGCTTTGACTGAAGACTTGACTCCCGATTCATTCGCTGCCAAGTTCTTTCGCACTTCAGCCGACTCAGCTCCGGAGGATAGTCAGCTGTGGCGATCAGTGTGGGATGCGTGTCCATCAATGTACCGCAATCCGGACGCTTTCTGTCCATCCCCGGACCAGACATTTGTTTGTATCTTCAGTCGCGGAATTCCCCTAGTCTACAACGACGCAAAGAGAGAAATCAGCGAAGTCCAGCTCCAAGCAGACATTCCCGGTGGTGGGGTTAACCGCATTACCTGGGACGCCGATTCTTCGTTGTTTGTTCTGTGGCATAACTGGATACGAATAGCTCAACTGGATCCAACAGATTTCGAAACTGCCGAAAGCTACAAAGCGATCGGGATGGCAGGTGGTAAGAAGCCCGCTGCCAAGGTCCCGAAGGGACAAAGTTCTGACAAGATTAACCGTGCCTACTTCGTTCGGCACAAGCTTTTCAACCTCACAAATAAAGTGTTTACTCAAGTGTTTTTCGATGACCCCAAGGCTCTAGCCATGGTCAACGACGCGACGTTCCTTGGTTCCGACGAGAACTTCTACTATTTCACTGTGACGACTCTCGGTTCTGAATTTGAGTGGGCGTTTTCAGTTCAGCCAGAGGGTAGCTTTCGCGACCACACGATCTGGTCACGACGAGTTGGTGATACGGAGTGGCGTCAGGAAGACGGGACGGTAGTGATGGCGGAAATACATAAATAGACTGGCCGGTCACGTAAAGTACACAGACTTGTATTTAGGCAGTTCCCATGCGGTTCTTCGCGATAATCTTGCTTTTCTCTGATACTGGACTTCGCGGACAGGCCCCAAAGTAATCGACGTCTGACCGTACAGCAAGTTTGTCGCGGGACGTATCATTCAGCCAACCATCAACAATCGCCCCCGCCGAGACCAGAACCACGTTGACCTTGAGTGTCGTGAAAACGTTGAGTGTCTTCGACGGAGCCAATCTTGAACATCGTTCTTATAACCATGGCTTGGTTGGCCCGACCATACGGGTTAATCCCGGGCAGCAGCTTTGTGTGAACCTCATAAACCAATTGCCGAATGAGCTTGGCAACGCCCATGGTCCGAACGAGCCGCATGGATTCAACACGACAAATCTACACACTCATGGCCTTCATGTGTCGCCCATAGCGCCTGCTGACGATTTTTTTCGCAGGGTGTTACCCGGCCAGTCATACTGCTACGAATTCAACATTCCTGTAGACCATCCTGCAGGGACCTTTTGGTACCACGCACACGAGCATGGATCGACCGCACTTCAGTTGGCGAGTGGTATGGCTGGAACTCTGATTGTCAACTGGGGCTTGACCACATAAAGGAGATCCGAGATGCACGGGAGTACGTGATGGTCCTGCAACAGTGGACCAACAAGAAGCGTGATAGCAAACCCGCGATCGTCGACCCTGATGTGGTTTACTCACAAAGCTCTGTCGTTCCTGCGATCAATGCGGTAGTAACGCCGACTATTATGATGCATCCCGGAGAGGTTCAACGTTGGCGTCTCATTCGCGCTGGAACTGCAGAGCAGTTTCCACTCAACATCGAGGGGGTAGACTTCTATGAGATCGCTATTGATGGATTGGCAACTGGTCGCCTGCGAAAGCGAAACAGAATCGTGCTGTACCTGGGAAACAGAGTTGACGTACTTGTTAAAGCGCCAGACGAGCGTGGCAGGCAGTTGATGTATTCTTCCGTGCCAAACTCAAGAGATTCATTACATGGCCGAGGCAGCGGTCGTAAAGACCTGTTGCGTCTTGTAGTACAGGGTGAACCGAAGCCGATGGCGTTGCCGCTCGCATCTGACCTTCAGAAAGTGGCAGTATTCACAGATTCTGACGTTCCACAGGGGGAACTGCCCAAAAGACGTCTTGTGTTTTCCCAGCCAGGAAACACAAAGCTCTACATCAATGGTAAGGCGGTTGACCCAAGCAATATCGAGCATCAACTGAAAGTGGGAACTGCAGAAGAATGGGAGCTTGTGAGTGAAAGCGGAGCCCATCCGTTTCACATTCATGTTAATCCCTTCGCTGTGACGCCATTTCGCAACGGATCTCGCTGGGTTTGGCGTGACACCATTGTCGTTCGTCGAGGCCGCCCAGTGACAGTTAGAATGTCCTATGAACGCTTCACCGGGGTCACGGTTCTACATTGTCACAATTTAATTCACGAAGTCTATGGGATGATGCAACTGATTGAACTTGTCCGCAAGAAGTCTGCTTCTACCGTAACTTCTGTTTGGAGTGCTGTTGCGCTCTCCGGTGAACGAATCAGGCATTCAAGCTTCTTGGGTAGCCGGTACCTTCTCGTACTACATAAGGGCATCTCGTGTGTGCATTGTGCCGATCAATTGAAAACGCTTGCCAAGCAGCACGCCGATTTTGAGAAGCTTGGAATTCAGATCGTTGCCATTAGCACAACGCTGCCCGGTGAGTCAAATCAACTATCTGCTCTGAAAGAGTTGCCCTACTTGCTATGTTGCGACCCAAGCGCTTCCGTCTTCACTGCTTTCGGCTGCCTTAGTCGCGGTACCGAAACACACGGGCTGTTCGTGATTGGTCTCGATGGGGCCGTGGAGTTTGAGCACAAATCAGAAACCGCAGCGCCAGACCCACTTAGCGTCGTTCGCATCTTCTTTGCAAGAGGTAAACAATGAGACTATTAAGCATTCTGTTATTCGTTTCGTGTCTGCCAACGTTCGCGGAAGCGGAGGACGTACAGATTCGAATCGTTGGACGTGGAACTCGTGCGGTGTTTACGCCGGTGAAAGCGGAAGTGCATCTTGGAGATCGTGTACAGTGGATCAACGAAGGCACTTTGCGCCACACCGCGACTAGTGTGAGAGTTGACGACGACGGCGAACCTGTTTTTGATACTGGCCGAATAGCTGTTGGGGGAATTTGTGCGTTCGTCGAAGTGACGAGTGAGTTTTTTGAAGATGCAGACATTGATGAGGCGACGGGCCTCCAGAAGTCAGACTACTATTGCGATCCTCATCCTAATATGACCGGCATGTTACTCTTGGCGTCGAGCGCGGATGCGACGACAGCCAAGCGA